TGGAAGCACTTTATGACTGAAAAGATGGTCTATATTTCACCTCAGCAAGGTGAAATCTTAAGCCAAAATGCAACGCTTTCCTTATGAGTGTACATACAGCCACCCACCCTCCCGCTTCAGCTTGCTCTTCTTCTTTAACTGATTATGATTCATGACAACTGAACCATCAAGCTTGGTTCATGTCAGTCAGGCTCTTGCAGGCAGTGTCATCTTGCCCAGGGCTTGAAGAAAGCATTTGTCTTTAAATTAGAAAAAATGAAAACCCTTTTCCTGAACACACACAGGAATAGTAATGGAATAATTGTTCTCTGCTATTGGTGAGCTGATGTGCAAATTTGCTCTTAGAAGCACATAAATTGTGACTTATGTTAGTCATCCAATTAGATGTTAAAAAGTTTTGTGGGGTTTTTTTTTTTCCTTGTTGTGTCTTTAATACTTTGTCTTTACTGGTAGTGGTTTGTGCTCTTCAGAGGCTGCTCTTAGTCTCCGGATCAGGGAATGGAGTCTGCCTCTTGCTCGTCTTGCTGTTTTTCAGTCTTCTTCCAACTTGGCTCTGAACCACCATGGCATCCCTTGACTCTTTTCAGTGGGTCTGCTGGAGCAAGGCTGTCTGGCTTTAGGCCCTTAAATAGTTGATCTTGTGAGATCTAGGCTGCAAAGTAGATAGCAGCCAGAAAATCAACTTGCTGAGTGCATGAGGGGAATGAAGTACAGTACTGCTTTATTTTTTAACTCAATCTAGCCATTCTTAGAGGCCATCATGTAATACTAGATGGGATAAAATGACTACAGAAAAAGAATGAACATGGGACATGGTGGGGTTTGGGTTTGTTTCTTGGACCGAGTTTTGTATTTCTATGATAGTAGAGAGAATTTTCAGCATAACTAATGTGTCCAGGCTGAGTGTGCAAGTAGTGAGAGACTGACTGGAAAAGTAAATTCAGAGGTGCTCCTACACAAGCTTTCAGAGGTTGGGCTTGTGAAAACTGTGCAGTATTGGAAGGTGTAATTAGTGCAGTCTTAACCTTGTTATTTTCCAATTATCAGTGTCCAAATGGAAATGAACCCAATAAACGATGCCTGTAGCTCTGGGATACTTGAAGGCTCTAATAGATTTCATATATTTACTCTGATAGAGAGTTTTGACATAAAATCCTCTCTGCTTGAAACCACTCACCTGCTTGATTTTGTGCTCTTCAGGTGAGATACCGATATATAGCACAGTAGGTGTTGATGCTGTAGTAATCTACAAAAAGATCACCTTGCTCTGGATGGATTTAGGTAAATTCCCTACTTAGTTCAGTTCACTTCCAAATTTTTCATTGATTAAATGTGTTTGAATTCTGTAAGAAATATCTTCTCCATGTGTAAATATTTCTTCCATTTCACAATGAAAAGATAGCAGCCATGCAGTATTTCTTGTACCTTGTTACTCGGTGACTCTCTATCTCATTCAACTTCATACTGGATTAGATCTGCAGAAAATATGATGGGATTTTGTGGTTGGTGTTTTGTTTTTTAATGCTGTCTTTTCTAATCAGTTCATTGTATTCAATGTGTGACCCAGACTTAAATTAGCCTAAGGGAGTGTAGGACAGTTCCTGTTGGGTGATTATTCCAATGAAGGTTTTTTGGACTGTCCGTAAGTTCTGGACCTTCAGTAGATACTCAGAAGTTTGAACAAGACTTCTTAAATCTTGCATCTGCCAAACGGTATGTCTTCGGTCAAGTTGTTGATACTTGCCTCGCCATAGTGTTAGACAATAAGCTCAGCAACTATGAACAAGCACTGTAGGAGGAGTAGGTCATCCTTTTGTTTTCTGAAGGCATTTAAGAAGCTTGAAAGTAGTCTGACTTAATGAAAAGCTGTGTTGATGTATTCAGCTTGTTAATGATGGAGCAGTGGGTGTAGGTACGCAGTAATTCATCAGTAAGCAAAATTCATATCCTCTGGGCAGTGAGGTGTGGCTATAATAGTGAACTTGTTTTCTTGTGCTTGGTGTAGCTGTGGGGTTTCTGATGTCTTGGCTATGGCCTGAGGATGTGGAGACTAGACTTGCTAGAGCGGCTGTGGTGAAAATGGGTGTAGGTAAATACACAGCGGCAGCCTGATAGGACTGGCTTTATTTAGCCTGTTACAAATGGGGCAGACTTGTGCTGTACCTCTGGGATTAAAGGATACAAGTTAAAGAACAAACTTACTTCTTGTGAAAGCAAACTTAATGATGATTCTGGAAATTCATAAAGCATACTATTTAACGCATTTGACATTTTAGAGATATTTGTCTAGTCTAAGATATGTAACAGGAGAGGTTTTGGCCATCTCAAGTTATCTCTCAGAGTGTAAGTTTGTGTTTCCCGAGAACTGTGCTTACGCTTGGTGCTGGCTCCGAACAGCTACAGGAGACTTGAAAATGGGCTTCTGAAAACTTCAGAAATACAGCACATACCCCTGCAACCCTCTTAGCTGGGGGGATAAGAAAGCAGCGTTCTTGCGGGCATTTAGTACGTGTCTAAAGCACCTGAATTTGACCGTGCCACTGGATTGCTTGAGTGCCTGCTTGGCAATACTGGTCATTTGGGTTGGTTTTTTTTTTTTTTCCTCTTGCCTTTGTGTTCTTGGATGGTGAGAGGACAAGTGGACAGAAGATGGGAGGGATGATGGAATAATGAATACAGTGCTGGTTACGAGGAAGGATCAGGAGGTGCTCAGGGACATAGCTCGTCTCTTCCTCTCCCCTTTCAGTCCACTTAAAACAAAACTTTCAAAAGATAAGAGCACAGGATATAGTTGGAACAAAAGCAGTTCTCTCCTTTCACCTCAACATTTGCTTGTTGACTTAAACCAAGGCGAGAAATACTTTTAATTACGTATCTAGCAAGTTCTTCCCCTAAAGGGAATAAAGCCGCCTTCTGACTGCATGTATTTACTGCCTAATGAGTCACTGGGTGCTGCCTGGACATATGTTTCCCTTGTATCTGTAGCTCTATGAACTTCTCCAGCCCGCATGCAACATTTGCATGCTAATCTGAATTTGCCCTCACAACCTGCTTAGTTGCCGCAGAATTGCCCCCACTTCTCTGGTGGCAAAGTGATACTCACCAGCTTAACGCCGTGTTGATGTGGTTGAGGCTCACCACGTCAACGCCATGTCTGCATAGGTTTGTGGAGAACACAGCCTGGATTCCCTGGATTCTTGTCCAGTGCTCTTGCCAGAGAGAGCTCCTTCTCTTGGCATAAGTTTTCTGCTTTGAAAAGTCATGCTTCTGTTATTTTTTATTTTCTGCTTGTGCTGCTCTTTCTGAAGACCCTGGGAGAAGAGGTGTTCGTGCACCACACCAACTGCATTAGCTTAAAGGGGTTGGAGCTGTTACACTACAGTCCATCTCACAACGGGGCCTGGGGCCTTGCCAGCTGGCCAGCAAGAAGATGTGTGTTCCTTTGTGTACTTTTTTTTTTCTTTTCTAAGATGGCTTTAGCCTTGTATTTTTGTGATTCCAGTGTACTTTTTTTTTTTTTTTCATGAATGGCTATAAAAAGTGCCCTGTAGCAGTTAATGCCACACAAAGAATTTTTTTTTTTTCTGCTTTCAGAGGGCTTTTCTGGAAATTGGTGGGTTTTCACAGTGAATTTGGCACAGCCTGTTCCCAGATTTGGCTTGGTGACCTTGCTGTTTTCTCCTCACCTTATGCATCTCTCACCTGATTGGAAATGGAGTAAAGGAAGGGGTTTAGAGAGTGGTTACTAAGCAGCAAGGAGGCAGCATTATGTCTGTGTCAGGTTGAATGAATAGCTTCAGTGTTTGGAGGCACTGAGGAATTTTGGACGCACAGTCCGGTGAGTCACAAAAGGTCTTTGGGAGGGAGGCAGGGGGGAGAGGGCAATGTTGGAATACAGCTGATAGTGTTTCAGAAACTGTTTGTGCTGACTTGGTATCACTTGTGACTCTCCTGGGGTCTCTTAGAAGCACCAAAATATTTGAACGTTGGTCTCAATATGGTGAAAGCATATTTAAGAGTGTCTTATGCTACAGAACACCTCCTGCTCAGCAGACTCTGATGCAAACATCTGCTGTGCTCCTTCAGTTGAAGCTGCCTTAATTTATATTGGTATAACTAACACTAGCTGTGTTGAGAAAATCTCCAAACAGAGCATTGCAAGTCAGTGGAGGTTGCCCTTGAGTTTCTGGTAGATCAGATCAGCTATGTCACTCCTGGAAAGTAGCAGCCAAGAGAGAATTGACAGTAGGAGCATTCTTCCAAAATAGGAATAAAGGATCTGCATCACCACCACAGTCCCTGGAATTTGGGTTCGTAGAGGGTTTATCAGCCAAAGCCCTGAATGGCACAATTACAGAAGTGAATTCTGGCACCACACACAACTGGCAGACCTTGCAGCCTGGGACCTTGCAGAGCTCTGGGTGTCTGTGGAGAGGCCGATCAGGTGCTGCTCTGAAGTTGCTGTGCTCTGCTGCTGGCTCTGGGAGCATTTCAGCTGTTTCCATGTTACTCTGCGCAGTGCATCCTGCTGAGCCTGCTTAGGTAACTGCAAGATGCACAGGCCTGTAGTAGGCATTCCCAGGGCTTAAGTAGTTTTCTGTGGGCTGGATCCAGCTTGTATTTAGCTAGCCATGTTGACTCTTGGCCAGTGCCAAGGGCCAGTCACCAAAAATGAAGAATCTATGGTTTGATCTGTTTTAGGGAAAGGCTTCAAGTATAGCAGAAGGCTGAGTATCCAGGACATGTTGAAACAAAGCCTTAATTCTTTCATTAAATTTAGACTCCAGCTTTGAAAGGAAACAGAGCATCCTGTTAGGCTTTGACTTTCCATGGTACAAACATTGAAGTATTGTCTAATAACTTGCATTTCATTCTTAATTTTTATTCTTTTGTCTCAGAAGTAATGTATAATAATGTATAAATTTCTAAACAAATGGACAGTGTAGTTTTTTAGGTTGGAAGCATACCTTGACTAAAATCTGCTTCTTCCTCCTTCCCAGGAATTCTCAGAACTGGAGAAAAGAGATCCTCAGGAGCTAGTTGGTAAGTTCACTCAGAAGTATTTATTCACATGTTTTTTCAAACTAGACTTTCTAGACTCCCCCTTTGTAAAAAGCATCTTCACTCTGTCCAGACAATACTGTAGTTTGAATTATTGCCTGTGATGTTTTATCTCAGTGGAATATTTTCAGTCTTCTGAAGTCTTCTTTTGGGGAAAAAGGTACTATGCCTAAAAATATGAAAATATATATTACATGTCTAAAACCTATATGTAAAGGGCAGCATAGCATACCGTATGTTTTCTAATGGTTACCGAAACTTACTTGATATTTGTGACATCTCACTCATTCATTGCACCATTATCAGATTTGGAAAAAATGCATGAAATAGTATCCTCTGCTTTGTCTCTGTGGAGCTATGCAGAAAGTGTATTTTATGTTGAAGCTCTGACTATCTTGAACGAACCTTTTGTTCCAGAGGTTGCTAGTACAGTTGTGTGGTAGCATGTAATAATATCGTAAAAAAACCCCATGAGTTTAAGAAGTTGCTTCATTATCTGTCAAATCAGCTTGTGAAGGTTCAAGCATGATGTTTCAGCCACAAAGTGTGATAAACATAAAATAAGACAGTAAACGCTAGGATGCTAAGCTGTGACTCCTACAACAGCCATCACTCTGAAGTTTTGGACTTAAGTCCTTTTCAATTAGCCTGCCCAGACTTTGCACCAGCCCAACTGTTACATTGAATTTTCAGCCTTTAGAAAGCAAAACTGCTTTAACTGGTCTCATCATAGAATGCAACAGAGATCTTTCTCCAAACTACTGATCTGCCCTGAAATGCACACTAGAAACATGCATGAGACAACAGCATTTAGGGTAAAAAGTGAAGAAGAATATCTGAAAGGCAACTGCCCTTTTACTCTCTACTTTACATAAGGGTGAAGCTCTACGCTTGTAAAGCAATGTAGTGGGAAGTCATTTCTTAGTTAAAGGCTCAGGTTACAATTTTGTTAAGTCTCCTTTTCCCCTGGTGACTGCCCCATCCACAGGAGATTAGAAGATTGACTCTCATTTGTCTCATGATAGCCCAGACTCATATGCAGGCTTAAAAGCTGCACAGAGGGCAATTCTTCCAGTGTCACACACTCGTGAGTGGACAGTGTTGGTCAGTCTGAGACCTGGATTAAGGTTTGCAATAGATCTTTAATGTCCTTTCCCAATAGTAGCACACACAGAGCCAATATGTAGGCTAGCTTTGTGCAGAACCAGGTTATTAGAGGTCAGCATACTTGCCATGCTGGATTCTGTAGGTCTTTTGCATTAGACCATATCTTATCTAGTTGAAAAGGAACTGTTGCAAGAGCCTTATGGTTGGTGTAACGTAAGAACCACTCCCTTACTGGAAAGTTGTATTTTTAGAGTTGGAATTCTTGAATGGAAAAAGGTGCAGGATTTTCTGACACAAAGCAAGTAACTTCTCCAATCTAGACATCTAAAATTTTGTCTAATAACAGTATGTGGAAGTCTTAAGTCTTCCTTAGATGGTTTTATACAACTGCTTTTTTGCATTAAAAACTTGTGGGCCTGCCCTTCTCAGAAGATAACCTTACATTGTTCAGCATCACCCTTATTAAAGTACATGATTATGTAGTTGCTTAAGTACACCATTACTTTTGGCAGGAGCCTACATTTATATTTCTGTTTTACCTCCCCTGGACGCATGCTAACATTTGTGTGCCTTGAGGTGGTCTGCGAGTTGGAGCCAGCTGAGATCCACCTTCACTGCTCTTCCCTCCCTGCCCCAGCCTGTGAGGCTTCCAGCTGGATCCATTCCCTGATCTGCTTAGTGCATGCTAGGTGAGCACTAGAGTTGACACAACGAAAGCAGCAGGGATGAGCAGCTGGGAAGGGCATGGTCCTGACTTAGCTGAAGTACTGATCACATAATCAAAGCCTGAAAGAATGGGAGGGGAAGTTTCCAGTAGTAACTGCCCTGTGGTTGAGGAGGAAGTATATGTGAAACTCATTTTGATGGATTTCTGCATCCATGTTGTGTTTTGGGGGTTTTTGTACCACTCTGAAGAGTACACGGTGCTGGTGGACATTGCATTTGCTGTTTCCTGCAGCCTTGCAAAAGAATACTTTTTTTTGCCCTGAAGTTCTTTGCAGCATGGTTGTTTACCTTTTGGACTGTAAGAAATGTTCTCTCCAGCCCTTAGGATATCTGAGCACAAAGTCAGTGTTCATAAGAGCAGAAAATGTGGCTGAGTTGCAGGTCTCTCTCTGCATTTCTCAGCCCACAGAGCAGAAAGGGAACTAGTGTCCTTCCATGGATGGGTGACTCACTGGCATGTTGTTGCCTCCAGTTCTTCCCTCTGATTTGGCTGTTCTGGTGCCAGGAAATCAGAAACCCACACACCCTGGTTTATGCCAAGTGGACTTGATTAGAGTGCCAAAGAATGCAGTTTTAGAGACCAGGCACCACCGGTTTGCATGTCTCCAGGGAAAAGCCAGGCCCCTCTGCTTACCCTTTCCAGGTCTTTGCGTGTTTTTTTTGCATAGTGTGACCTTTATAAACAAACTGGCATCTGGTACTGCCTGTAATCCCTTGTGGCTGCTTAAGATGCAGCATAGAAGTGAACCTTGAAAGGGACAGGAGTTCTTACTCCTACCTGAGGAGCAGCGTTACTCACTGAGAGCAGAGGCAAGATGCTTTACCAGACCTCAGGTGATCCACACCCCAGTCTGTCCAGGTACAGCCAGCATTCCATTCCTCTGCTCTCTATTCTTTTGGTTTTCTCTGCACTAGGAAAAAGTGCCTACCCATCTGTAGGAAACAAAGCTCCTGTGTGCCCCCCATCCATGTCTCCAGCATAGCCTTTGGGCCGTGAGCAGTTGTTTTGTTCTGGAAGGAACTGAGTGCACGGTTTGCACTGTGGTACTTTCTCTCCTGCTATGCAGTTATGTCTTTGTACTGTTAGATATACTGGTCAGATAACCCAACTGTCTCAAACTGAAGCAGGTTAAGTGTAGTATTTCCATTTAATTATCTGCCTCACCACGATCTGGCAAGCAAATACCCTCCATTGGCTACTGAGATGGTGAACCTCTTCTAGGTGCACCCTAATAGTTGATTGTGCTTTGGCCTGCTGTGCGGAGCGTGAGAGCAGCTGAACAGGTCTGCCTCGCCACAACACATGCGTTCGCTGCACAAAAAGCTACAAGCACCTAGTGCTTGCGTTGATGAATTTTCTAACTTTTAGGTCAGCTTGTGGAAGGAGAATGCACAGAATAAGCAGCAGTGGCGGTGTCCTTCAGCAGCAGGATGCTTTGAGTCGCAGACCTGGCAGTGCGTTGGCTCCTACTTTCTTGAAACTCCATCTGAGTCATGGGATCTGCTTTATGGTCTTAGTTCTTTATCTGGACTGTGAATCTGATTAGGGGAAGGTATTTACTTACTGTGAGCCAGAATTTGGGTGTGCCCATAGTGATTAACTGTGCCAACAATCAACTTCCTGAAGTCCCCACATGGAGATCCTCTAGGCTGAGAGCCAGCAAATCACAGGCCCAGTTAGAGACTGCAGCCAGTGTCGCTACCTATGACTGATGTAAAAGTAAAACTTTGATCTTGGCAGAAGTAACAGGATGCACAAATCAGTTGGATGTATCCTGTGGGGACACACCTTGTTGTTAGCTGTCCATCTGTATTTACCGCTCTATAGACAGCGGAAAACTGTGCCTGGGACTTTGAAAACACAAAATCTTTTATATAGGAGCCTGTGGCCATATATGCAAGTTCCAGGGATATTCTGCATGATAATCCCAG